TTGCAAAGGAAGTGGAAAAGGCAAAATTATACTACATGTGGTAAGGCCTCTCCCTATTTCCTATAGGTCTCCAGGGAAACAGACCAAAAATACAGTTGACTTAAAAAGTAACAAAAGACATGTTCCCATGCATATTCACACACAGCCGTTCACGGGTGATTTCTGAGTCTGTTAGAAGATTGCATGCTCCTCACCCTAACACCGACAGAGGGAGGTCCCATAGCTGCAATTCTTCAGCCTTTACCTCCCACTAGATGCTGGCCTTTCTTCCCCACAGGAGGGGTGGGGTGGGTGACACAGAAAAGGTTAAGATCATCTGAGATTTGGGAGCACTTCAAAAACACAACACAACTTGTTCCTCTCTAACTTTACCAGCCCTCTCACGTGGACCAGGTACCATCCAGAACCCAAAGGAGGCCAGGTAAGCACACTCAAGCCCTACTGACTCGAGGCAATGGAAGGCTTATAGAATAAGGTATTTGTGATTAGATGTCTGAATTGAGAAGTAAAAGAGTTCTAGATCTTGTTCTGCCAATCACAGTGGCACAGCCATGGCAAGCAACTTCTCTAGGCTTCCATCTTCTCAACAATTAGGAGAAGAAACACATCCTCTGCCCTAGTCAGAGTAATTAGGAGACAACAACCATGCAAGAGCAGATCAAGATTTTGAGAAGTCAGAGCTTATAAAATTTTAAGGGGCCCTTTAAAAATATAAAATACAAAATACAAAAGTAGGTACAGAAGTGAATATTGTTTTTAAGAGAAAAAAATGACATCCAATAACTTAAAAGTTAATATATACTCAAAACATCACACAATCTTTGCTCCTTTGAGACAGGGTCTGATTATGTTGCCCAGGCTCGCCTCCACCCAGGCCCAAGAATCCTCCTGCCTCAGCCTCCAAGCAGCTGGGACTACATAGAGCTGCATCCACCTCACAGGGTTGGGCTGCACACTCTTTTAAAAGCAATGATTTTTGTAATGTTTTCTATGGAGAGACTAGGAAGCTCATTCAGTCTTTCCTCTCAAAGTTGATCAAAATTTGTCATGGGGCTGGTGGTACAGTACTTGTCTAGCAAGCATGAAGCCCTGAGTTCAAACCCCATTACCGCCAAAATAAAAATAAAAATAAAAAAAGAGGATGGAGGGTTGGAGGTCTTCCCGGATACATAGAGTTCAAGTCAGCCTGGATACATAGTGAGAACTAGTCTCAAGAAAAAAAAACAAAATAAAAAACAAACAAAAAAACCCATAATGTGTAATTGGTGAGAGCAACTGTTCTTGAAATTACATTTCAAAGTTGATTAAAATTTGTTCTTCTACCTTAGGACCCCCCCTTATTCTCCAGGAATACATTCTAAGACCCCCAATAAATTACTTAAACTGAAGATAGAACCAATCCCTAGGTATACCATGTTTTTATTTCCTATATGTACACATACCTAGGTTAAAGTTTAACTTTTAAATCAGACACAGTAAGAAAATTAACAACTAGTAATAAAATAGAACAGAACAATATACAAATATGTAAAGTTTTTTTTGTCTTTTTCTTTTCTGTACTGGAGATTGAGCCCAAGGCCTGGCAAGGCCTCTACCACTTGAGACACACCCCTATTCCATATTTCTGGAATTTTCTATGTAATATTTTTGGACCACAATTGGCCATCGGTAACTGAAACTGAGTAAAGTAGATAGAGGAAGAGGGTGTATTGCTAGTTTAGAAAAGATTCAGCTTTTCAGCTCCTTATTTGAGGAGAGTTGTCAAATTTAGGAAAAATCTTTACCAAACTTCTTTGAGTTATAAGATATCAAGGAATTTCACTGTGTCTTATGCAGTAACTAATCTTTTATATCTCCCAATTCCTCTGATGCTGAACATCCTAGGACCAAAGCAGTTCTGGAATATTCTGGTCATGTGTGGGTATGCAGTGTGGGTTAAGAGTATTATGACAAGCCATTCCTACACTGGGAAGGCTAGCAATAACAAGTATAAGCCCAAGCCACATAAATATATCTCACTGAACTCTTAACTCAGAGAGTTCCTCACAACAAAATGCCTAAAAATGCTGACAACCACTCCAATGCCCCCTAATAGGGGAATTCAAAGTGGAAAGAGACAGTGGTCTTAACAGATTTGGAGTAAATTACCTGTGTTTTGCTAATTTTATAAAAATATAACTGTTTAAACATGTAGCTAAGACTCCTGTTACTGGAACCATTGATGCTCCAGGGAGGCCTCTGCCTGGCCTTTAGGTACTGAGTTCATAATGTTGTTGCAAAAAAGAATTTTAGAATACATCAAGGTAGAGACCAAGTTTATTAGTACATCAAAGCAAAGATAGAAATATAGTACACTACCTAGACATGGGTGTTGTTACATCTGATAACAGGTGCAATGAGTGCTCTAACATCAAGGGTATTGATACTGAAAGGAAGGTTGGAGATCTGGCTTGAAGTTATCTTACTAAAAGTGCTCCTTTTTGTTTTGACAAAAACAAATCATTTTAGCTGTTACTGTTTTATCAATTGGGCCCAAAGATTTCAAGGCTGACTGGCTTATTAAATTTGGGTCATTATCATATAGATATCTGAGCATCTCTTTAAACAAAGGATGGGTTCTGCCACATTCTCCCTTCAAGACAGGTGTCATCTTTGCAAATACTTCTTGTGTCCAAACGAGTCATTTTCCCAGGTGTTCTTTCCCAGGATAAGTGTCTCTAAGATATCATTGCTCAGTTCCCACATCACACTAATTATTTGGGCAAGCAGGCAAGGTCAGAGGGAAAGAACTGCTCATTTTCCCTTATTTCTTTTTCTTTTTTACTTAATGGTGCAGCTTGATGGAGTGTAAGTCTTGAAGCAAAGAAAACAGTGCCTGTGGGCTTTTAGTCGAGCCATTCATTAATACACTGTTCATCTCTGAATTCCTGGCTGCTGGTTCCCTGCCTCATTTTCCCTAATCTACTTACGTTACTTCCACTGCCCTAGAAGGGCCTAGGCAAGAAAGAGGGGTTCATAAAGCAAATCACCTGCGTCCACAGATCTCTTTAGAAGGCGGAGCCAAGGGGGTGGGTTGTTACTCGGTTGGAGATTAAGGTTGGAAGGTCGAAGCCTGGGAGCTCTGCGGAGGAAGACAGGCCTTACCCGCCTGGGTCCCAGCGCCGCCGGCCTATGGGAGCTACCCAAGGAAAGACGCTGTATTGTGCCCAGCCAAACCCCACGTCGAGGTCTGCGCTGAGCCAGCCTGGCCCTCCGGTTCCACTAGGAGGGCGAGTGGGTGGGCGCCTCCAAGTCCGCCTTCCCCGGGGTCTCAGGTTTCAAAAGGAGCGCGTTCCCTTGGGCCCGCCCCCACTTCCGGCAAGCGAGCTCATAGCTCTCGCTAGATCTCGCGATAGCGCGTCTTCTCGCCCACGCGAGCGAACTGGGGCCCGCGCCCACGTGCGTCTACTGATAGTGGCCACTCAGGCAGTGTTTAGTACCTGGGCTTGTCGCCTTGCCCATTTTGTACCAACAAGGACAGGGCTTTTAATGCAGCGGTTCATTTTTAAGTACACCTGGCCCGAAAGGTTCTGATCGGGAGGCAAGAGGCGGGGAACACCCCATCCCTCGTGGGGTTCTGTCCTGTATGGGTGATTCAAGGACTCAGACATGCTAGAGACCGCCTCTTGGGCGCTCTCGTTGTCCACACACTGGCCTCTACCTAAGTCATCTAAGTCAGTAAAAGGCATGATTTTTTTTTTTTTAACCTTTGTTGTACACATGGGGAAACTCAGGCTCCAAATAGTGAAGGAACCCCGAAGGCCACTTTACCAAAACTGGAATTCCTTCTCGCTTCAGTTCTAAGACCTCATTTTTGTAGCACAGCAATTTGTCAACAGGGGATTCCTAGGAGACGCTGTAGTTTAGTGAAAAGTACCCAGGTTTTGGGTACATACCTCTGCAAAATAAAAATACAGACACTTACTTTGCTGTATGGCCTTGAACAACTTTCTTAACCTTTCTGAGACTCATTCTTCAGCTGATAGATGGGATGATAATAATATGCCACGAAATTATTGCAAGGGTTACATGTATATTCATGTCTACTCCATACCAGCTCTCAATAAATGGAACTACAGTTTTAATAATCACTTTATCCTCTTACATGTTGTACTTTGTTCAATCTGTAGAATGTGCTTAAACATAAGTAAATGAGTGGAGGAAGAAATAAATCTGGCCAGACACCAGGTGCTCCTCAATTTCAACCCACTCATCTGTTGCTTCCTGGAGGAGCTGCCACCTCAGAGAGCTGTAAAATGGAAATGACTATTCATCCTTTTCCTAAAAGAGTGTGTGTGCACATTGTGTGTCTGTCTATGCATGTATGCAAAATAGCATACAGAAAACTGCCCATATCTTAAGGGCACTTAGGTTTTTGCAAAATGAGCAAAGTGGTGTACCTAGGAACCTGATGAAGAAACAAGACATTACCAGTTCCCAGAATCTGCTGGTGTTTCCTTCTAGTCACCTCTTCCCCTACGGGGGTAACCACTCACTATCCTAACTTCTAAATTAGTTTTGCCTGCTTTTGCACTGGAGTTAGCTGGAATACTATTCTCCCATGACTTCCCAGATCTCCAGATGTCCTTATCTTTATTGGTACTCTCAGAGAAGAAACTCAGGGGAGTTGCCTTCCTTTTGATCAGGGATTCTACCTATGGCACCCATCTCACCATCACCTGCTACCTCTCTGCCTGCCCACCAGTCTATGATCTGGAACACATTTCTGTCTGTCTGTCTATCTATCTCTCTGTCTCTCTCTCCTTCCTTTCTCCCTCCCTCTCTCTTTCTTTCTCCTCTCTTTCCTTATCATTCTCCCTCTTCCTCTTTTTCTCTCCATTCAAGGTGAGAAAGCATCTTAGGCTTCCTATTCTCAGCTCTTTCATAAGGAGTTCCCACAGCAGGGATGGCTGTGTGGACTCCTGGTGACCCTATCTTTGCCCGTCTTTCCCTCTCTGCAGGAAGGCCTTGAGAGTGAGGAATGTGGACGCACTGAGCCTCAAGATGATCATACCCAGCCGCAATCATTCCAAGTAAGGCTCTTCTGTCTGCTCTGTTCCCTGGGTCCCTTCCCCCTCCAGCAAAACGTGTTTCTCACTTGGGGTAATGAGTTATTTCTCTGAGCCTCTACTGTTCCTTCCTGCAGTCTGGCTTTCATCACAGTCTGTTGCAGGATACTCAAGAACGGGGAAATGGGACACCGAGGCAGTTCAGCAGGAAGCAACGTTTTATTGTGCCAGCACAGACTCATGTCCAAAGGCTGAGCCCCAAGAACAAAGGGGCCTTACCTTATATACCCTAGCAAGCAGGTTACAGAAGCAAGAAGCAAGGTCTAACCCATATATGGTTTTATGCAGCTCTATTGGCTATTTTGCCCCCCCCCATGCCATGTGAAGCTTCTTCACATTCAGATTCTTTTTTATCTCCCTGTTATGTCATTCCCTCCTCTCTGCCACATTTTCAGAACAGACTTGCTTCTTTTCTGGCCTCCTCCCTGCTACATTATTCCCTTCTTTGATGCTCAGACCCACCTAGTGTCAAAGAGCATTATCTTGATTTAGAGGTTTGGGGATTCTGGAGCAGAAAACTAAGTTTAACAAGAGGAAAATATGGAAGGAACTCATCCTTGATGAGAGGAGACAATTCCTCAACCTTCTGTGGTGCGTAAACTTGTCAGCTTCTGGAGTGACTAGAGCAGGGCTATTGTCCTGTTGTCTGTGGTCCTCTTTTGTTTCCTGGGGAGCAGAGTCCTGCCAGGTAAGGGCATGGGAATTCCAGAAAGTGATCCTTCATGGTGAGGCTGGGTCAGGGATTCATTCCCACTTAAGAAAGGCTGGTTTTACTCGGCTGTGATGGATCCAAGTAGCAATCTGTGTAACTTTAACTGCTGTGGGAATAGATAAAATAACAACAAAAGGGCCTGTCCAATGAGGTTTTAGCAGTTGGACATTTTATTCCTTTACCCAGACAACCTGTAAGGGTGTGTGGGAGTTGTCAGGCTAACAGGAAGTCTCTCCCAGACCTAGTCATTGATTTTTGAGAGAGTTGACCCAAGGGCCTGCAGTTGTTGCCTTAAGGTGAGGTCACCTATTTCTTTGAGATCCCCCATATGCCCTTGATTAAGGGGGATGGGCGTCTATAAAGGACTTCAAAGGGTGAAAGTCCTGTCCACTTCATGAGACTAGACCTAAACTTTGGTAATGCTATGGGTAGTAATTGATCCCACTGCAAATGGGTCTCCTGACATAGTTTTCCCAACTGTAATTTAGGGTCCTATTCATACTTTCCACTTATCCTTAACTTCAGGGGCAGTAGGCTGTATGTAACTTTCAGGTCATTCCTAAGACCTTAACTACCAGCTGCACCACTTTGGCCACAAATGCTGGCCTTTTATCTGACCCAATAGACACAGGTATTCCAAACTGAGGGATGATTTTCTTTAGCAGACACCTGGCCACCTTCCGGGCTTTTCAGTCCATGTGAGGAAGGCTTCCACCCATCCTGAGAAGCAGCAGATGAATATCAATAGATATTTGCATACTCGAGCTCACGGCATTTCAATGAAGTCCATGATCAAGTTTTGAAGAGGAGTTGCACCAACACTCTGTGCCTGGGGAGGTGCCCTTGGCCCTTGTTGGGGGTTGTTTTTGGCACATAGGCTACATCTTTCACATACTGCCTTACTGATGCTGGAGAGTTTGGGGACATAAAAGTGCTGGGCCAGGGTGGTCTCAAGGGCTGTTTGCCCTGAATGACTTCCTTTGTGGAACTGCTTGACAAATGTAGGAGCCAGTGACTCAGGGTAGAAAATTTTCCTCTTCAGTCTTAAATCAGGCCTGTTCTTGTGGTGTGTACCTTGGGTATCATTCAGCTAGGGGACATGAGAACAAGGCAGCAATTAGGGAAGTTGGGGCTGGTCCCCTCGTGAGGCCTGCTTGTTTGGCCTGTCACCTTGCCAGTTTCTGTGCACAGTTGTTGCATATCCCTTTTGGTGCCCTCAGCAGCAAATAACTGCCACCCATTTAGGGGCCCATACAGCGTCTAGCAGTTCAAGGATTTTCTGCCCATATTTGATACTTTTTCCTCCCAAGTTAATGAATCCCCTCTCTTTAAGTAAGGCACATGAACATGAATGGTTGTGATGGCATATTTAGAGTCAGTGTAGATGTTTACCCATACTCCTGCAGCAAACTGGAGTGCCTGTGTGAGGGCGACAAGCTTAGCCTTTTGTGCAGAAGTTCCAACTGGTGGGCCTCAATGACTGAGTCCAGAGTTACTATTTCATATCCAGCAAAGTGAGTGCCATCCTGGATAAAGCTGCTGTCATCTGTGAAATATTTAACATCCGGATGGCTGATAGGCTGATCTGTTTGTTAGATCTGGCTGGCTCAAGAAAACTTCATCCATAACCTCTAAATAGTCATGCTCTGGGGGCCCAAATCTACCAGCAAAAGGGTAGCCAGGTTTAAAGTCTTAACAACCTCCAGCCAGATGCATGGGTTTTCACACAACATACTCTGGTATTTGACCATTGAGAGTTGGTCAGCCAATAATTTCCCTTATACTCCATGAGAGTCAGGATGGAGTGGAAAACCCAGACAATGAGTTTTTGCCCTAGGGTAAGCTTCTCTGCCTTTGTCACCAGGGAAGCAGTAGCTGCTAGGGCACTCAGGCAAGGCAGCCAGCCTTGGGAAATGGCATTGAGTTGTTTTGACAAGTAAGCCACTGGATGATGCCAGGAGCCTAGTAGCTGGGTCAGGATCCCGACAGCTGTCCCCTTTTGCTCATGGACATACAGAAAAAAGGGCTTCATCACCTCCAGCATGCCTACAGCAGGGGCATTTGTGAGTGCCCTCTTGATTTCTCTAAAGGCTTTCTCTTGTTCCTCTTCCCATACTAAGGGTTTCCATTCTTCCCAACTTGTGGCTTGATAGAGGGGTTTGGGCAAGAGGGAGCAGTTAGGGATCCAGATTCTGCAGAAACCTGCAGCTCCCAAAAACTCTCTGATTTGCCTGTGAGTCTTGGGGGCTGGAATGGAACAGACAGCCTGTTTCCTCTTGGGCCAAGACTGTGCTGTCCCTGTGACAGGTGAAAGGTGAAGTATTTGACAGTGTTTTGGCAAGTCTGGGCCTTTTTCCAAGAGACTTTGTATCCTTCCTCCCATAAAAGAGAAAGAAGGTGAGTCCCTTTCATACAGTCCTCCCATGTTGGTCTAGCCAGCAGGAGGTCATTTACGTACTGGAGGAGTATGCAGCCATGCTGGTCAGCTGAGAAAGCTTTGAGGTCAGTTGCCAGGGCAGTTACGAAGATAGTGGGGGAGTTTTTGAAACCTTGTGCCAATCGAGTCCAGGTTAGTTGCCCCTTTTCTCCAGTATTGGGATTTTCCCATTTGAAGGCAAAAGTAGACTGGCTCTGTGGGTCTGAGCAGATGTAGAAAAATATGTCCTTAAGATCTAGGCAAGTTAAAAAAAAAAAAAAAACTTTGCCTCAGCTGGTACAAGGCAGGCTATCTTCACCCCACACACCTGGAATCTTGAGGGGAAGCTCAGGAACCTCAGCAGGTCTTCCCTCAGGGTCATAGAGCCACCATTCCTCTTCTTGTGTGACTGTGAGGATTAGAGTTTTTGCCTCGGGTCCTCTCAACTTTAAGCTGCCATACCATCCAAATCAAAAGTTATCTGTGCCCTCAGTTTGTATATTAAGTCCCTGCCCATCAGGCCCATGGGGCAATCAGGGAGATAAAGGAATTAATGACTCCCAAGATTGCATTGTCTAGATACTAGGAAGGGGCAGTGGGACCAGTCCCCTGTAGCACCAATAATAGTTGTATGCTTCTGTGAAAGGGGGCCCACTTGTTGGGTCACAACTAAATGTTCTGCACCCATATCTGTGGTGAGTGGATTATGAGAAGCCTATGAGAACTTGTCATAAACACAGTTGTGCTCAATGATCTACAGGTTGAGTTTGGCATGGCCCCAGCTGCATAAAAAAGCAAGAGGAAAAATGCAGCACAGCTGCTTTTCCTGAGTTGTTTACATTCAGAGAAGTAGGAAGGCATGTTTCTCTTGTTACAATATCACACCCTTCCCCAAAAACTGTTGCTCCACCTCCTTGTTTACCACTGGTTAGAAAGGATTTGCAGAAGAGGGTTGAGGGGTTTTTGATTGGTGGGCTGCTTGCTGAATGACACAGCTGACTGCTGCTGCTGCTACTGAGTTATGCTAGAGATTAAAGGGAACATGGGTCAGTGCAAGTCTGCATGGAGAACTTTATACATGGACTTTAGAAAAGCTAAGTTAAAGAAAAGCTAAAGAGAACATGGGACAGTGCAAATCTAAGGACTGAGACTTTAAGAGTTCCGCTAATGCAGTTTTTAGACGTGACTGCTGTTGTCTATCTGCAAGTCTGAGCACCGAGACTCTAAAGGGAACATGGGACAGTGTGAGTCTGAGGGCAAAGACTTTAAGAGAGATTATGCTAAAGAAAAGCTAAGAGAAAACATGGGAAAGAGCAAGTCTAAGGAAAGAGACTTTAAAGAATAGACAAGAAGCAAAGTTTTAAAGAACTGTAAAGGAGTAAGGCCTTAAAAAAGAGAAGAAAAGCAGAGTAAAGAGAAGAGAAGTAAAAAAGCAATGAGGCTGTTGTGTGTCTCTATCCGAGCACCCCACAGACCTGGCCCCAACTTTATGCATGTCTGTCTTCTATCGTTTGTCATTTCTGCATCTCCAGTAGCCCCCAGTTAGACCAGTTAGGTTCAGTAGTAACAGAGCAAGAGAAAGCTCACTCCACATATCCACCATGAGGTCTATGGGATGGTCCCCTATTTTCATTCAGACCATGGCTCCTGGGGGCCCAGTAGAATGGAGTCTAGTCTGTCTAGTCTTTCATAGTCCTCCAGAGCTGCCAGCCTAATGATGTTTTCCCCCCAAGGGCTGGTCTCCCCACAGGTGGGCTGATAATTTCCCTTGACAATTTGGCCTCTGCCCTGATCTGGGGGGCCTTTGGTAGTCCTTGGCCTTGTTGGTGACATTCATTCT